TTTTTATCTATATATAAACAGACATATATAATTTGACCTAAAGTAGTGACACAAGAATAAAAATTCCCCAATCACAAGAGTACAGAGTTCTGTCATCTTACTTCAGCTTCTTTTTCAAGCAGAATCTGGTCTTTATTTACTTCTTCATCCTCTATTTTCCTTAAAAAAAAAAAAAAAGAATATTCTTCAGTAACATGCATACATTCTAGATTTTTAAATCGAGGCTCTTAGACACATATCAGAGTTTCATAGTACAACCAAAATTCACTGAAACACTTTCCGCACATAGCTGAAATTCATGGTTTTAAATTCTTTTTAAGACAACAGTTTATCCCTTACTGCTTCATAAAGTTATACCCAGAACAAGTATAATCTTCAAAACCCATTCTAGCTGTTACTAAAATATGACAGATCTTCGCATGAAGGTATCCCTAAAAACTTTCTGAACAGTATTCAAGTATAGCAGTTTAGTAAAGCTTAACATTATCCTGATTGCAGTTTGAATGCCACACAGATAGAGCAAATTCAAAAATCCTTCAAAGATTTATTCTTTCCTTTTTATTCTTCCTTTATTTTATTATTCCCTTATTTAATTCTTCTCTTTCATTGGTGCAATAAACCAATACGACTAAATCAAAATGTAAGTTTCAAGGTAATGCTGGACAAATTTAACAAAAATATGGGAGCAACAAGCAACAAGTGCTTTAAGACACTCTGTATCTGTAAACCTGAGTACCTCCAGGCAGAACCTTCTCGTGATGCAATTCTATCCCATCTCTAACTTCGTGAACCATGTTTGCTACCAAACATCTAAAAGACTCATAATCAAAACCATAAAAGTAACACAACCATTGTACATGTCTCAAATCCTTCCAATTGGAGGAACTCTTTATCCTCTGCTCCACTTAAGCCTTTGAAATTTGATTATTTTTCTAGTATAGCCACTTTTCTGGGGTTTTCTTGCAAGGCCAAAAGATTTCTTTTGTGTAATGTGTAAAGTACAATACAAACATTGACTATTCCAGTCAAAATAAAGCAAATGCTTTCAAACAGTATCTCAGAAAACTCCTGCTTAATTAATTGGGACATTCCAGTTTTACATTGAGAAACAAAACATTTTATGTACTATATTTCAAGATTTTCTACCACTGTACCACTTTGCTAATAGATTTCTCCTATCACGTTTCAATGGGGAAGATCTGCTGACATACCTAATCACACAAGTGCCATTAAAAGCAAAAAGGAACAACCTGATGCTTGTTAGAAGCCTCTAAGGCGGCTGTATTCACATTAGTGAATAGAGCCAACAAGCACTAATTGCCAACCACTGCCAGTGGGGTACATACAGTTTGAAATCAATTCACATGCAAACTACCCTCACTTATAGTAAACTTAACTACATTCTAGCACCACTTCAGAAATGTGAAAATAAAGATATATGGGCCCACTTAACCAGACAAGATACAAACCCATGTTTTAGTTTCACAAAGAAATATACCCCAGCTCAATAGCAAGTTACTGTCCTGGGTCCTTGGCTGAGGTAACTTTAAATCCTCTAAAAGCTGGTAAATATTTATCCTGGGTTCAGCTATAACATTTATTCTTTTTCCTCCTAGGAGCTGGTGCAGTGCTGTGTTTTGATTTTACTCTGGGAACAATGCTGATAACACACCAATGTTTTAACTGTTGCTAAGTAATACTTACTCTGATCAAGGACTTTCCAGTCTCTCATGCTCTTCCAGTGAGAAGGGTCACCAGAAGCCGACAGGAAGCAGAGACAGGACACCTGACCCAAACTGGCCAAAGGGGTATTCCATACCACAGCACGTCATGCCCAGTATATAAACTGGGGGGAGTCACCCAGAAGGCCCAGATCGCTGCTCAGGTCGGGCTGGGTATCTGTCAGTGGGTGGTGAGCAATTGTTTTGTGCATCACTTGCATTTATTGGTTTTATCCCCTTCCCTTTTTAGTTTTATATTCTCTGCCCTTGTTATTTCCTTTGACATGATTATTAGTAGTAGTAGTAGTGGTTTTGTATTATACTTCAGTTATTGAGCTGTTCTTATCTGAACCTGTGGAGTTTACATTCTTTTGATTCTCCTCCCCATCCCACTGGGAGCTGGGGGGAAGAAGGCGGGGAATGAACAAGCAGCTGCATGGTTCTGAGTTACCGGCTGGGCTTAAACCATGACAACTTTATCTTAACTCTGGATGACCTCAGGTTACATTACTTCTAAGATCTTTGTACATACCTGTCAGAAAACAGACACCAGAACTTGGCAAAATTTTTTTTGTTTTGTTTGGTTTGGTTTTTAACTAGAACTTCAGAAGAGAGGATTTCAAAGTCAGGGGAGAAGAGCATGACATCTTGCCTGAGGGGAAAACTGGACTTGTAGGCCAACGCTCCAGGCAGAGACAAATTCCTTTTCCTGAAAACTGACGGGGCATGTGACAAAACCTATGTGAACAGCTTGATGAAAAAAGCTTTGCAAAATACATCAAACCCACTGAAATGTGCAATTATGAACCCCTCTAGTGGTTGAAATAAGAGATGCAACTGAAAAGTTTAAACCAGGAAACATCCAGTTTTCAACAAGAACTCAAACTCAACTTTACAAACTTTGCTATTTTAGGTAAATATGAGGTGTTCTGCCTGCCTCTCTTACCAGCAAAGCTGTGCCCTGCCCACCACAGCTCAAAATAGGGTGGAAAGCCATTATCCTGTTACTGCTACGCAAAGAAAACTATGTGTATTATTCTGTGGTTCTATGTTTAATAACTGCAGAGGATTTGAGTTTTTCTTTTTAAAAGACACAGTCCAAACATTCCAGTAGATAATTCTAAAAAAAAATCCACCTCAATATCAGCACTGATCTAGCTTGCAGATAGATTTTTAAGACATTTATCCTAGACATCTGCCCTACTTACTTACCTTAAACATTCCAGTCCAACTGTGTTTCAAGCCTTAAAACAAAGCAGAGCTCTAACTCTACCCTTTCAATGCCACCACTGCCTCTTTAGATTTATGTAATACTTTTTCTTACACTCCGTGTAAGCTGATCAACTGACCTTGGTACTGACTGGAACTACCAAACTGTCCATCATCTACCAAATCCAAGCAATGAAATGGTAGGAGAGAGAAAGAGAGGGACCAAAGAATAAATTCAGAAGAGGAAGAAACAGCATGTAGCTGTAAGATGACAACCTGCCGCCTCGCTTGAGCCTCTCAGAGCGGAAGTTCTCATAGTGAAGATCCTGAGTCACCTCCTGAAGATCTTGCATATGGGTGCTGGAGGAAGAAAAATCATTAAAAGATAAAATATACCTGTGTCACATCAGCTTGTTTAACCAGCTCTCACATTCAGCACTGTACGGGGTCAAAGTGTTCAGCATGCACACCCATTTAACATGCTGATTTAAAATCTAATTTAGGTTAAATAGGTGCAATGAAAGACACAGAGAGAGACCACCTCAGACCCTGAGGCAGCTCTGGTGTAGGCTGTCCTCCTGGGTAAGGCATTTGATAAAGCAGTGCTGGGCAAGGGAAGCAGAATAGCAAAGCCTGAAAAACAATCTACTAGTGGACTTCCGAAGTCTCCTCCTTCCTTTCCAGGTTGTATCTACCTATAGATACATTTAAATAATCACAAGGTGTGAAGCAACCCATTTTATGTTCCTGGGGATCTGAATAGCAACACAATGCTCTGTTTGACGAAAGAATTAGACAAAAGGTTATGTTTGCAGAATCACTAATTCAGAATGGAAAGAACCTATTGAACCTATGTGGTCCAATTCCTGCCTAGGCCTAGGCCAGCTAGGTCAAGGCTACTCATGGCCTTCTCCAGACAGATTCTGAATGTCTCTGAGGGTTCCACAAACACTCCAAATGCCCAATACAGTGTTTATCTTCCTGATGATTGTTTTTTACACTACCATCTAATTGGAATTTTCTAACTTACATTAACATGGTCCTCAGCTTCAAGAAGTCATTATGTTCCGGATTTTCCACTTCAACTACACCCCAGGGGTAGAGTCGACCTCTAACTTTTTTACCTTTGGCTTCAATAAGTTGATTGGAACCCACTACACAAAATGGAATGCTGGCCTAAAAGCAAAAAAGGCAAAAATTACTAATAGTGAACCTGAACAAACAACTCAAGAATAACTTGTTCTGCTCAGCACTGCATATTATGGTATTAAGTTCACAATGCTTTTAAATTTGAAGGCACAGAGACACAGTGACTCACTCAAAGTCTCATCGCAGGTCACAGTATGTATCTTGTTCTAAAGCCACCTGAGCAGTCTGAAAAGATCCAGTATATTATCCACATCCGTAACTTTATGAAGCTTGTCATACCTTCAGAAGTCTGGTCTGCTCTTTAAAATCTTCATCCTCATCAGATTCAGCATCAGGCAGGTGATAAATCTTGATGCCATGCTCTTCTATTTCATCCAGAATCTGAGATTTATAATGTAAGAAGCTGAGATGATATACATGTAAAGTCAGTACTTTTAGATCTTGATGCAAAATTACTTAATTGGTAATACACAGTCTCTTGAGCAATTTGGGCCTATCTTGCTAATCCAAGTTACCTAGGAAGTATTTGTTTTTAAACACCATTATTTCTTCATGATATTCAAAAACTACTTGACACAGGCTTTCAGGCAAACAATAGTGTTCAAATAAACACTGTCCTTTGTGGACTACACATAACAAATTTCACTTTTTTAAATATTCGCATTTTTTAATTATTTTTTTTTTTAAATTGTAAAGCATTGACTCAGAAGTCGTAATTGCTTTGAACAGCCTAAAACTCCTTACTCTTGCAATCACGGAGTCATGGAATCAACCAGGTTGGAAAAGGCCTTCAAGATCACCAGGTCAAACCGTTCCCCACCACTGCCAAGACCATCACTAAACCATGTCACTAAGGGCCTCATTTACACAATTTGTGAACACTTCCATCTGAATTATGATTCAGAGAAGTAGAGATAAGTGTTTAAAAACCTAACTGAGCTACAGGCACCACAAACACCTTTTTCTGTCTTCATGACTGCTAAGAATGGCATCTGCAGCTGGAATCCCTTTGCCATAAATCCAAATTTTGCTCTTTAAAAAAAATATTTCTGCAGAATTTTATCAAAATACATATATCAAACTGAAGTATATTTCTCCCATTTTTTGTTGCAAACTGTGTAAGATAACTAGAAGGATTTTCAGAAGAACTGAAAAAAAACACAGATAAGTTTTAAATAGAACAGCTAAGACTGGATCAAGTCAAGACAGGACAAGTGTGCCTTCCAGCAAATAAATTCTAACGCTTCTTTTTCTAAATGTCATAATTGTTACTAACTCACGATGGTTTGTGGCATTTTCCCCTCCTCAGCAAATAGAGCATCAAGTCCTGCAAGACTGAATGTGTTAAGGGATCTTGTCTATGGAAGAAATATCTGGAATGTATTAAAAGAGGGTGACATAAGGGAAGAAAAACAATCCCAAGATCAGAAAAATCTCTGAAAAACCTGTTTTTCAATCATCGGAATTCTGACTGGGTAAGAAAATAACACACATTATAGATGCAGATAACTGTGTTTGCTTTTTGTTTGGATTAAACAGGTAAGTGAGGAATTACCATTAGAAAATGCATTTAAATATTTTTCCAAAGTTTCAAAATTCCCTTATAATGTAATTGGAAACATAACCAGTCTGCCATTTCACGGGCAACATTTTAAGGACAATTTCTCGGTTGTCTCAAATATAATAGAAGAATTTACAAGATATCAAAACACATATGAAATGATGTTTTTTTGGCTAGGATAGGTAAGGTTGCATGAGAACACCCCTCTCTTCAGCAACTGTCCTGCTACAACCAAAGTACAACGTTTTTCTGCAAGCTAGAATACTTACCCTTTTCTTTAGTCTTTCTCGCTCTTTCAGAGAAAGAGTATCAGCTTTTGCAATCACTGGTACAATGTTTACTTTGTTGTGTATAGCCTTCATGAACTCAACATCCAGAGGCTTAAGGCTAAAATTAAGATATGAAAAAGTTTAATTTATTTTTAATCTAGACTACCAATTTATTTTCACACCAGCATAGATCTCTCTTTACACAGAGAGAAACAACACACCCAATTAATCCCAACAGTTCTAGTACTTCCTTAAGCAATGGCAATCTCATTCTGAAAATTTCAGCCAACAGGCACGAACCAAATCCCCAAAATAAAATAATTTAGAAAATAAAATCAGACAAACACCTACCCATGACCAAATGGCGAAATGAAATAGAAGCAGCAATGGACCCGGTTATCTATGATATGCCTTCTGTTCAAACCACTCTCATCATGCAGGTATCGCTCAAACTGCTCATCAATGTAAGAGATTATGGTCTTGAAACTGTAAAACAAATAAGGATTTGAGAAATCGTGATCATTACCAATCATTTCAGTGATGTTTCAAATGTAATATTAAACCAAATACATGCTGCT